ACACCGTCGTGGGCATCAAAAACGCTGCGGAATGCGCGCTGAGTCTTTACCGCGCTGCCAGCAACATGTCTCCTGTCCTCGACCATCGCGCCCTGTAATCACACAGAGTCAATATTCGATTCCTCTCATATCCGATTCCAGCCCGGTCGGATCAAGAGGATGAGAACGATTTTCTTCTATTTTATTTCCCCACCGGGGCGTTCTTTGTTTTTCAGATTTTCTTTGGAGGCATGCCTACCATATGTCTTCACAGACGGGATGGCAGCCTTTTTTAGTCAAGTTGAGCGGTTTGTTCTGCTTCGTAAGTACTGGGTTGGGAAAGTTGTGGCTTGTTGGACGAAGCTTAGACTTGGACTCGCGAGGATCGACCTGGTTAGAGGACCTGGGGTTAGGTGTCTCCTTCTGTTTTGGAATTCATGGACAACATGACGTCGGTGTCTAGCTGGACGGGTGATTCAGTTACTTTGCCGGACAATTCCTGGATGGCAAGTGGACAACCTGTAGTCTAGGCATAGGTATAGATTCGCAATAAGAAGTACGCTTATTAGCGACGAATCTTCTTGGATGAGTGACTAGTGTTCTCACATCACGATATAAAGTCTGGCGTTGCGGTCTCGTTAAACCGCCAAAAGACGTCGACGGGTGCCTAAGTGTGGCTTGTCACCGCCCTTCTGCTAATTGGTTGGGCGTTGAACTGTTAGTCACCTGAAACATACTCTACCCGACGACCGCTTCTTGTTTTGACACCCCGCAAGTTGCCCCCAAGAGACAATTCTCCGACCGCGATGGACCCTCTGAGTGCGCTTGCCGTCGCCACAGCAGCAACCCAGTTCTTGGAGTTTGGGGTCAATGTCGTCTCGGGCACCTGGGAACGATATCGGGGCGCAGCTAGCGCGACCGACAACCACACTGACATCGGCTCGGTCGCTTCCACAATACGGGATCTGGCGAGCAACATTCGCCAACCATCCCATGCCCCGCTCTCTTCGAATCCGACAATCAATTACCAACAACAACGGCAACTGGACAAGATCATCAAAAAGTGTCAGGATGTCGCCGACGAGCTCCTGGCCCTACTCTCGGAACTCAAAGCCACCGGACGACACAAGCTGACCGAGAGCCTGCTCATCACGGTCAAGGCAATCCGGAAGGAGAAGAAAGTCCGACAGCTGCATCAGAAACTGGTCTCGACTCAATCGGAACTGGCACTCTGCCTCGTGTCTCTTGTTTAGTAAGCATCGTCAATCAGTCAAGAATGCCGCCTCGGCTAACCAATTCAGTGACAACCACTTTGAGATGAAGCTCTCGGTCGATAGACTTTGGAAGACAACGACGCAGGAAGCATCAGAGAACCTCGAGCGATCCAAAAGGAATGATACCCAGCAGTCAAACATGGTATCTGCTCTCGACCATCTGCTGGAGAAATCCAAGAGCTTAAAGCTGCACTGCTCAGATTCATTGGCGCAGCTAACGCGACAACTTGAGGGTCAACTGCGAAAGAGCCAAGCAATCCAGGAAACCGTGCATGATATGCATGACACCATTATCCGTTTATCTGAAGAAGCTCAAGTACGCCGATCGCAACTGAGGGTGCTTGAAAGTCTGATGGATTCCACCCTCAAGATTCGTGAGAGCAGCATCTGCAGTTCTCACGCCCGGACATACGAGTGGATGTTGACACCCAGAGACGCCAATATTTACCAAAACGTCCAATTCTTGGAGTGGCTCAGAGACGAGACCGGCGTGTTCTGGGTTGCCGGTAAGCCCGGGTCTGGGAAGTCGACCCTGATGAAGTTTGTCCCCTCGGATTCTCGAACACGGACTGCGCTGGAGCAGTGGGCCGACGAAAAACGTCTCATTATTGGCCGTCATTTCTTTTGGATGGCAGGATACGACTTGCAACGATCCCAGGATGGTCTACTTCGCTCTCTGCTCTATACGGTTCTATCAGAATGTCCAAATCTTATGCCCACAGTTGTTCCAGAGCAATGGGGCGCCTCCGTCAACAAGCCGATGAATTGGACCAGGAACGAGCTCTTGGATTCTCTCAGACGAATCTGCGCCACACCAGTCACGGACGCCAAGTTCTGTTTCTTTATTGACGCACTGGACGAGTATAGCGACAACCACGAAGAGTTGGTCGACATCATCGCCCTACTTTGTGGCACACCAAACATCAAGGTCTGCTTATCCAGCCGAGAGTGGCCAATCTTTGATCACTACTTCGGCAAGAACAGAGTATCTGGGTCGCTGCCCGTTCGCCAGATTCGCTTACAACTATATACCCGCGAGGATATTCGGCAGTATGTCACAGACAGGGTGGAACGGAATCAGCGTTATCAGAGTCTTTTAACCATACAGTCATCGGGGCTGGTCCCCGAGCAGAAAGAAGCTCTCGTTGAGGAGGTTCTCGAACGGGCCGAAGGGGTCTTTCTGTGGGTAAGTCTCGTTTGCGACGAGTTGCTGCGAGGCTTTGGAAATCTCGACGACATCGGAACACTCCGGCTCCGGCTCCGAAATCTTCCCACCGACCTTGAACTCTTTTTCCAGAGGATGATCGAACGAGTCGAACCAATCTACCAAGCACAATGCGCACAGATTCTTCAAGTTCTCATTGAGGCCAGAAACCCCATACCCCTCCGGCAGCTTGATTTCCTTGCAGACGATCCAAATTTTGGTACGCGTGTCAGGCCAGCCGCGCTACTACCATGCGACAACGAGACCCGAATGGTGCAGCTCAGAGCTCGTTGCGCTGACCTGATTCAGTTCGGGAGGCCCATCGGCAACACTTTCCCACAATACCTCGGACCCGAGGTTACTTTCATGCATCGAACCGTGGGTGACTTCCTTGTCACTCCGCACATCCAAACTTTTCTAGCAACCAAACTACCCAGAGGCTTCAGTGCTGACGCGTATATTCTCAACTCTTTGGCGACGTTGGTACGGCAGTGTAAGGTGCGGATTCGACCCGGCCGGATTCTCGACGATATCGTTCACCACGCCCGGAAATTGGAGATGCAATCTGGTGGAGCCGACGAGCTCATCGACGGGGTGCTAGGTGTCCTGCTCCATGTCGTTGGCTTATGGCTAGACGACCACTACGCCTACCTTAATCCTGGTCTAGTGCGCGAAACTGATTGTCAGGAGACAAGGCAAACCGGACACACTAAGCTTCTCACTTTTGTCCTTCAAGCAGGTCTTCAACTCTGCGCTGAGCGGCTCCTAGACACCGACCCTGGTCTGTTCAAACTGGCTTCTAGCCAGCATGCCCTGTTATACCACGCAATCAAGCCGTTACTAGGATCCATGGACTTGGGTGAAATGGATATCGACCGCATTCTGAAGACTGTTCGAACTCTCGTCTCTCGTGGTGCTTCGCCTAACCAACCAGTGCCACTGCCGCCTGTATCTGACAAGTATGACCCGGATCTGGAATCGCGACAACGAACTCCGTGGACAGCTCTAGTTGAGAGATTCAACCTTGCTGGTGAGGTATCCAGCAGTCGATGCTTTGATACGGTCACCGCTCTGATAGAAGCGGGAGCGTGCGAACACTCCTTCCAGGAGCTGACCCTAATTAATACTGCATTTCTTAGCAGTTACCAGCTGAATCAGCTAGCGAGGAGTCGCCGGGTGGCAAAGCAGAGAGGTTTCGTGCCATGGCATCTCCGGCATTTTGGATGTTACATGGCCTATGCGATAGCTCCATTACAGGCAAGGTCGGCAGCTGGATCCCGGTTTCTTTCCAAGGCGGGATCTGGCGTGTTCCAATCGAGGGCGGTTAGAGATTCTGTGTTTGTGTTTGGGTTTGTGTTTTTGTCTTATTGCCTAGTTGCCATCTGGCTTTTCTTCCCGTTGATAGGATAACTCTAATGGGGAAGCATATAACGGTGCTCTATATCATTGGAAGTTTCTTGTACAAGTACTTTGTTGCCTCGGTCTAGGCTGTCTAGAACCGCCTTGGAAGTGGGGGGGGGGGGGGGGGGGGGGGGGGGGGGGGGGGGGGGGGGGGGGGGGGGGGGGGGGGGGGGGGGGC